TTTCTTTACATTTACATTCTTGTATATTTATTCATTTTGTACATTATTTATTCAATTCTTGTACAAATTCAATATGGTTGTAATAGATAATTAGGCTTTATTTTCTTGCAATCCCCATTTATAATTTGTACACCCCTCCCACAAGTATTGTAATAGCGTAGTAATTTTAAATTCCGCAATTTATCACTTTATATACAAATGCTAGTAATTAGGGTTTGTATGGAAAGACTAAAACCAATCAATTAGAAAACCCTAATCAAAGACAAAATCAAGCATGAAAACAATACACTTGCACACAAGCACCCTTAGGGTAAAATCCACTTGGTTGCCTTACAAAATGGCCATATTACGCATGTGAGGTATCTTAGCAAAAACAAGCAAAATACAAGATCATAGTTTCTCGATGACACTATCTATGTTGCCTTTCAAATAATCTTAGTCCCCAAAAGAGAATGCTAAGATACCTTGTAACATTGCTAATCATGGTTATACGATGACCCACGCCCGTCCCGTTTACATCTAAAGATAGGGTTACTTACCAAACCAATGGTAAGATAACAATGTCAAAGGAAAAGAAAATGAACATGAAAGACTTTTGAGTAGGTAGAATGCTCCTAATTACTTGCTCTATTTCAAAACAAAACATCCTTGCTATTTAAAAAAAAAAACAAAGACCTACACTTTCAAAACATCTTACAAACTTGAAAACATTTTCAAAAGACCAACATCTTTGTATACATTCTTACGAACGAGAATCATTACAAAGTTTGCCTAAACAATGGCCTCTTTACAAAATACTTTCAAAAACCACACAAAACACAATTTCAAACAAAAAGCAAGTGATCTAGCAAGTAACTAAGAGCCCATGGAAAACCATGGATGAAAAGGATGCTAATACCTTCCCTTTTCATAATCTACCCCCTGAACTCAAGAAAAAAAACTAAAAGGTCTTTCCTGTACTTTTTCACCTTTCCTTTTGGATAAAAGAAAATTCAGTGTCGACTCTTGCTAACCACAACATTTACGATCAAACGCAAAATACCCAAGTTAGTTCTCCCACCGTATCACAGTCCCCTACATTAGTTCCGTAACAAAATTCAAGGAAAAATAACAAGACAGGAGGAAGAGTATTAAATGAGGAAAAGGATCTAAAACTTTCACAGCAATACAGTATATACAGAGTTGTGAAATCCAATAGAAAATCGTGTCCATCTGCCCTATGACCAAGCCAGCATCCAACTAACAGTTCAAAAACCATAACCAAAATTACCAAAGTCAGAATACACAAATAGGTAGAAATCGTGAAAGAATATCAAGAATTCAACACAAAAATAACTAACAGTTCCAACTCATCTAACATATTTTAACTAACTTTCCCAACTCCATAACCAATTCAATATCTCACCATTGACAAATAACAGAAAACTTCAGATTTAAATCTCATCATCTATTCCATAACTAACTGATTCAATCCAACGGTTCAGATTGGATTCAACTATAACTAACATTCTACTCTACAGATACGATAAAACATAAACTCACCACTAAAGAGAATCATTCTTCAATTTCAATCACAACCAAGAAACTCAAAAAAAACTCTCTCCTCCTCTCATCTTCATCTTGGAGAATCACTAAAAACCAAAAAACTCTCCAATCTCTCTCTCTTCAATAACTGCATCAACAACATCAATTTTTCCATGTCATTGTCTTCATCATCTCTGAATCAATCTTTAGCTTCTGCACATCGCATCACCCTCTTTTGCAACAAACATGCAATAGCGTCAAATCTTCATCAGCCTCCATTCGTTTCACAACAACACGCTCCATTCTTCATTACTTTGACTCTCTGAAATTCTCCACAACCTTCATCCATCAACCTTCTCAGAACCATAACCATTTCTTCTACTCTAATATTCATCACACATCACCTTCATCATCATATGTGAATATTTGTGAATTCAACAACAACATGAATCTGCAAACCGCATGCAACTTCATCAACATCATGCACTGCCTTCATAAACAATCATCTTCATTCTACTCTTCGCATCAATCTCAAAATGCAACGCCAACAACAACTCAAAACAGCATAGAAAGAACAACAAATAAGTAGAAGAAATGGCCTAAACAGAGCACCTAAACGGAGCACCTACGCTTGGAATTAAATTACGGGACCTATTTTTCTGAAACCATTGGCCCGTTTGTAAGCTACAATGCGAGTTTCGTTCAATTCCGAGCACTTTTTTTACCATATTTCAACTTGACCATGCGCGGAAGTCATGCTTCCATTGTGTTTTTGACAAAACCAATTGTAGATTTGGATTTGTGGGAACGTTTATAGATTACCATGAAAATATTGTTTCATTCCCAACATATTTTTTGGGAAGCCTATATTGTAGAAAACGTGACTTATACCGTTAATGCATAATTTTTGGTACAACAATAATGCAGTTTTTTCTCACATACTAGTGCAGAATTTCAATACTATGATTGTCATTTGATACATGCTTACTTGTTGTATTTCATTTGTTTATTATCGAGTAGATTTTTATACGGTCTATACCATTTGCCTTGTTATTTTTGACACGTTTGTTCATTGCGTAAGGTGCGTTGTGACACTTTCGATCATGTAACATATCAATTGTTACGTGATCGAAACATGTGGCTTATACTCGCTTCCGATGCAACATGCCTTATTTCTTATCTTCATGAGAAATTCATATTATTTCACATTGTATTACATGTTGTCTAGATATGTATGATGCTTTGTAATACCTCGTGCAGGAACTTTCGCTTACGCAGTGCATTCATGGAACGCGTTTGTGTTCATCTCAGTTGAATACCGTTTCTGACTTTGTTTATTTCTTGGTGAAGCTTGCTCGACGTATTCCTTGTTTGTCCATTGCTTTCGTCTACTTATTGGCAAACTTGCGTTTGATTGGTAGCTACTGTTGCTTTTACCTTTCGCGCCTTTACCATATTCTTTATCGCTTTCATTGCCATGAGAAGTAGGATAGAAATGTATGACGGGGAGTCTCCGTTGCTGATCATATATGGTGCAAGTACAAAAGTAAGTTGTTCAACCGCCCCTATCGATAAAAAGATCCATAACAAATTATTGGCTCCTGCTAAATGACCATATACCAAAATGTTATGTTACCTTATGGACAGGATAATCTAGACGCGATTCCCCTTGCTCTAGAACATGATCCAGAGTTAGAGTGTTTATTAATCTATCCTAAAGATATAAAGGATATGATCATTGTAGATCCGTGACTGGACATAGAATTATTACAAATTTGGTGCAAGTACATAAAATTGAATATCTCATTATGGTACATTCATCGTTTTGTATATAACTAATTCCTCACTTTTTTTAAAATTTTGTTTAATCATTTAGGTATATTCACCATGTTTGTATAGAATTAAATAAATCAGATACTTATGAATTCTTGGATTCCGTTGGTATGTGATTTACAAATAATTCTTAAAAAAACGTTGAAGCATATTTATTAACATCACATATAGGTGAGGCAAAAAACGGTTACTTAGCACCATTTTGGCTTTTATGTAAAAAAATATGTAGTTAATATATGTATAATATACGGATACAAAAAATATACATTTATATTATATGGAAAAATAAAATAAAATAAAAAAGTATTTCATTACAGTTATTTACAATAATTATTGTGATAGATAGAGTTTCAAATATTATATATCATATAATAACTGGGTTTCGAATCAATGGCCTTTAGATATATTTCACAACGGTTGTTTAATATAGGTTGTGATATATAATGTGTTACCTTGTTTATCACAGCGGTTACACGCCCGTGGTGAAAAGTATCATACATACAATCTCCCCTTACCTCAAAACGGTTGGTTAGGTCTGGTGATATCCCTTTTCCAATCATTGTGAGAGGTGTTTTTCTTAGTAATGACACCACATCTTCACGTCGAAGTGCTCTTTAGTATAAATTTTTTCGATATTTTCAACATGTTTTGAGGAGTGAGTGATTCTAATTTTATAGATTTGTTCTTGAGACTCTTTCAAATCAGACTAGATGTTAAAATACATTATCTCAGATCATCTGATAAGTTACTCAAACCTTCTTAATCGACATGGCTAATATATCGTAACTATAATTGAGTCTCTTTACGCTTAACATTTTCAAACGTGATCATTATCATTTCTATCAAATTCTTCAACTAAAATTTTTAAATTAAATAAGAAAAAGCACGTGAGTTATCCGTATACCAACAAATATATTATTTTTAAGTGGAAGAGAATGCTCCAATCTTTCATATTGTTTATTGTCACATTACATATCCGAAAACACAATTTTATTCTAAAATTTGTATAATGATCAAACAGTATGCCAATCAATATTTCATTTTGTTTTGGTCCGTCTAAAAATTGCATTATAGTAATTTCATTTTCTTAAAAAAATATTTAATGTCAATTTATAAATATTTCAATTTTTTATTATTGGATTAAGATTCTCTCTAAGGATATTTTTTTCATTACTATAATTTTCTAAATGTGATACGTATTTAATATTTATTTAACTTTACACACAATACTATAAACTATAATAATGAGCATCCATTTCTTTTTAAGAAATAGTGGATCCTTTTCAAACACATCATGCATACATGCAGAATTTAATGACCCCACGTGTGCAAGACCAGCAACACGACAAGTGCAACTAAGCACCTACCTTAGTCAATTCCACGATTCTCTCAGTTCGGTCAAGTCAACTTCAACATGCCAAAATATTATAAAAAAATAGTATTACTTATCCAATTTAAAATTCAAACCGTCACATACGACCCATGCATGGTCAAAAAGCCTACCAAAGCCCACAAACATAAATAATACGTATAAATATATCATTTCTCAACTAGCTATAGCTCATCGACCTTCATAGTAAATCAAACAAAACTTGAAATAAAACCATATTAGTACTTACTTACTACTAAATTTTTTGTGTTTAATGGAAGGAGTTTCGAATTCGACAAATGGAAATGTTGATCAGATAAAGTATAGAGGAATTCGTAGGAGACCATGGGGAAAATATGCAGCAGAGATTCGCGATCCGACAAGGAAAGGAACAAGAATATGGCTTGGAACATTTGATACTGCTGAACAAGCTGCAAGAGCTTATGATGCTGCTGCTTTTCATTTTCGTGGTCATAGAGCTATTCTAAACTTCCCTAATGAATATCAAGGTCCTAATTCATCAACTTCTTCATTACCTATGCCTCTTACAGCGCCTCCTCCTCCTCCTCCTAATCATAATCCTAATCTTAATATTAATCCTAATCCACCTTCTTCTTCATCTTTATCTTCTTACTCTGTTGATGATAACTATGATTTTGAATTTTTGGACAATAAGATGCTTTATGAACTCCTTCAAGATGGAACACAGTGATTAACAAGCTACTGTTGAAGAATATCAAATGGCATGCAATGTGTTGTTTAGTTAATTTCTTTCTATTAAATTATTTGGGATTGTTTATGTAAGTTATTCTTATAATTGAATGATCATGAGATTGCGTATTGGAAGTTTATAATGATTGTAACAATTTATTGAGAAAGAAGAGAGATGGATATTTTCTGTTTTATTAAGGGGGCTTCCTTTTTCTAGGCTTTTTTTTTTTAATGATTGCTTGTTTTTAATTTGGATATGATATTTAATTTATTTTTTATTTTGTCAAAATTCAAAATTGAAACTGAGGTAGGAATAATAGCTGAAATGTAATATTTTTCCAACTGAATATACTGAAAAAAGAATGTTAGTTCTTCATCTATGGATTCCTTAACTATTCTAAAGAAGGTTAACTACATATTTGAGACTTGTTTGAGTTACAAAATTAAGAAGTGCATAAAATTAAATAAAGCAAAGAGAAAAACAAAATATGTAAAAAATTTATTTGAAAGACGATTGATATTTGAATAGTTGATAGTTGATATAAGATAGTTTTAGATGATTGTTTAGAAAGAAGACTATGATATTAATTTTTTGAATGATCAATTACAAAGTATCAATTGTCTATTTATAGGGCTCAAGTCATCAACCTCTTAATAGTGGTGAATGTTTCTACATTATTTTAGTTCTTTCTAGATGTTTCATGATATATTAGTATCATAATAGTTCTAGGTTCTTCTACTATTTTCATACACATTATAGTTCTAGGTTCTTCTACCATTTTCATACACATTATATTTTAGAATATTATAGAAATTCGTAGCAATTTCAATACTCCTCATTAATGCAAATTAATGTGACTCCAAGTGTAGCTCGTAACTCTTCAAATCTTGATCTCGACAACGCCTTCATGAATATGTCTGCAATTTGATATTCTCCCTTATAGTAGTCAAATTTGATCTTTTTTTTTTATTTAACTTATTTGATAAAATGATACTTGGTTGTTATGTGCTTTATTCTGATGTGATGTATTGGATTATTCACCATTGCAATTCTTGATTTATTGTCGCAGTTTATTATAGTAGGATCATCTTCTTTTTCTCACATGTCTTCAAGTATCCTACAAAGCCATATAACTTCACTTGTTGCTTCAGCGACTTCCACGTACTTTACTTCTGTTGTTGAATGTGCAACCATAGCTTGCTTTTTTAACGCCAAGAAAATTCCTCATCCACGTGAGAAAGCATAGTCAGAGGTGTTCTTCGATCATGTCATCTACTGAATCTTCCCAATCATTATCGGTGTTGTCAAGTAATCTTGAGTCAGTTGTGGTAGTGTATCTGTTGTACCCCAAAATTTGCCCTCGCATTTTTCCCCAAGAAATCTCAGTTTCAAGCCTTTCCTGATTCTTCAAACTGGCTCAAGAATCGGACAAACGGACTTTTCTTGTCAGTCAAGCGAAATTAAGTTTTTTACGGATTTTCAGGGCTCTGGATTGTTTCACAGTTGGCTTAGGGTTTTGGATGATTTTTTGGTTCAATTTTGATCAGGCGAGCGTTATTTGGCATTTAATCAGGAATTAAGGTTTTATGGGCATGTTCTCAGAAGGATTTAAATTCCACAGCTTTGCAGTTTATTCCGAGATTCGGGTTAAAATTCGCGTTGTTTTGATTTAATCAGTGAAAGAGACAGTGGTTTGAATTCATGTTGTTTGAGCCAGTCAAAGAATATGCAGTTTGGAATTGCAGTGCTTGGCAAAGAATCAGTGAAAAAGAGGATTGCGTCTGATCAGTTTTTGTGTTCGACTGTGCGTTGCTTTGAATGATGGAGACGTCGAATTCATTTATTTTGATCAACAAGGTTTAGTTGATTATTTATGGTTCTAAGAATTAAATATTTGAAATTTAAACTTTCATTTTATTTAATTTAAGGAATTATAAATAACAAGTAAACAATTAAAGAAAAGGAATTGAAAAGAGTTAAATGAATCAATGGAATTTTTATTTCATATTTAATAGTTGTTACCATTACTATTTGGATACAAGTATTTATTACGAAGTATTTAAATAATAATGGTTTACAAATAATTAAATTGAAAATAAAAATTATCCTATTTTTTCTAAACATTTTCTAAGTCCCTAATCTCTTCATTCTTCATTCCGCTCCGGTGTTCCATTATTCATCTGCAAAAGAAAAGAGAAAGTCAGAAAGCAGTTAAATTGGAAAAGACAGTTAAAATTAGACTCATCATTAAGGGCCACTGACTGGGATCAGTTAACCCTCTCTGCAAATCACGGGATTTTTCCCGGTTCACAGAGAGGGAAGAATTTTTATGCAAAGTTGAAAAAATGCAAATGTCAAAATGCATAGAATATCAAACTGCATAGTTTCAAAATCTCAAACTTCAAATTCAAACCAAACTGAAAAAATCAAAGAAAAGTACAGTTTGCTGTCACAAATGCCAAAGTCCACTCAAAGATATCAAAGAAGATAAAAAAGGTGCAATTTACTGTCAAAATACAAAGTCTACTCAAAAGCTGTCAAGAGAAGAGTTTGAAAGATATCAAAAGAGCACAAAAGCTGGATAAAGTATGCAGAGGAAAGTTATGCAAGCAAGCTAACTCAAATCATCATTTCCCATCAATAGCCCTTTCAGAAAAGATAGTACAAGAAAGAATCATATAATAATATCCAACTGTACTATAGAGAAAGAAAAAGAGAGAATAGAAGCAGGTTTTCAGGCTTTAGGTTTAGACAGTTCAGCATAACAAGAAAAGATATACAAAAGGAGAACACAGTTCAGCAAGAGGGAAAAGGGAGGAAAAATATACAAACTACAAGGTCCTGGCCTGAAGCAAACCAACTAAAAAACCTGATAAACCACCAAGCCTGAAGCTGACCTGCTGTAAAAACTCAGAAAGCCAAAAGCCACACATTACTGTCAAGGCATAACCTGCAAGCTGAAACCATAGATCAAACAACAATAACCTGATAAACCAAGGTGAAGCCTGAAGCTTATCTGCTGTCAAAACCTCACCATACCTGCCAAAACCATTACAAACACATAAACTGAAGCCTAAGTTACCAGTTCAAAACCTGGACACCAAGCAACAACCTGCTGAAGCCTAAGTTACCAGGCCAAGCCTCATCAAGCTAAGCAAACACCAAACTTGTTAAGCCTGAATATCCCAAGCCTGCCTCAATATACAAACCCACAGGCCTCACAACAAAACAAGCATATAACCTGCAAACTGACAAAACACATAAACATACAAACCTGTCACAAACATATAACCTACAAACTGTAACCATATATCAAACCTCATCAACCTACATTAAGCCAGAACCTGTTAAACCTCAACATAACAAGCTGCATGAACCACAGTATAACCTCTAACATCAAAAACCCTCAAGAAGTAAAACCTGCTGAAGCCTAACCTTAAACCAGAAACACCACATACTGTCAAAACAAAAATACATAACCCATCCTAAAAACCAACACACCCACCTGCTAGCACAAACATAACCAAGTTCAAACCTGAGCCAACCAACCCTAGGCCCTCAGTAAACATACATCACTGGGCAATAATAAACATTCCAAAGGCATCCAACTCAAGACAAGTTCAGGGCAACACGAGAGAAGAAGAGAGAAAGTTCGTCCAGCAACAACAATTCAAAGCATCAAAAGTCTCAGAAGAAAACGACATATTCAAAGGCAACACTCAACTCAACATATATCAAGCAAGCATTCAGAACCAACCCTAGGCCCTCAGACCTCTGAGATCATCACAGGGCAACATAAACAAGCGTACAGTGGCAAAAAGGGACAGAAGAAGAAGTGGAAAGAAGGATATAACAGGTTTTCAGTACAAAGAATATCATCATAAAACCTCCACACGGTAAGGAGTAAGAACGAAATACCAGGGACATCAAGAAAGCTTCATCGCGCAAATCTCCCTCTCGCCGTCCCGGCCTCCTGAGCGCCACGTCCCCTTTTCTCTCCTCCTTCTCCAAGGTCAGGTAGTACATCCATCTCCCTCTCTTTTTCTCCTTTTGCTCATAACAATAAAAGAATCAAGGTTTTAGTTCAAATCAAGAACGCGTACAATTCATAAAAGAAAAAGGAGACACAAACATTAAAATCGAACCTTGAATCACAAGTCCACTGAGCTATGGAGGGAAGAGAGACTTTGGGGGTGACACTGGTGGCCGGATGGAGGAAGTGCTCAGGAAGATGAAGATGAAAACGACGATGAACGAACACGAACGGCGCCGTCCCAAACCCTATGCGTTACCAAACTGAACAACCGAATCCCTAACCCTAAAAATGTTGTTTCAAAACCATGGGCCTGACCCGTTGTAAATTCTCTGAAGCCCATTAGAATGCTTCTTTTCTTTTCCTTTCTAAACAAAATATTAATAACTCTTTATTTTACAAACAATATATTTATTTTCTAACTAAATATAGTTTTAATAAAAATACATTCTTAATTAGTATATATCACTTAGTAAAAAATACATCTTTTCCTTAAGCATAATTAAATACTTTTCTATATACATAATTAATTTGAAAACCTTTTAATACATATTGAAATATTTGTACATATCATACCTTTTTTTATCATATAATTAAAATTGAAAACATTTTTTTTAAAATACATCTTTGTACATAATAGACAAAATACATATTTTTTCTAATATTAAAATTCTTAAAGCACTTAATTAAAACATTTTTGTATATAATAAACAATGATGCATCTTATACATTTTTTCAATTAGAACTTAAACATACAATTTAATTAAAACTTGAGCATTTAATTTAAAACACTTTTTCTTTTGTACATATTAAAAGCATACAAATCAAAGATTCCTTAAAACACGTATTTAGGTCAAATACCCTAATACACTTCAAATTCACATTTCACCTGTAAATAATTACACATACTCATATACATGTACACTTACACAAATACATTCACATTGCCCTATACACATTTTTCATC